TGGTCGCTGATCCAGTAGTGACCACAGAGCTCTACCCAGTGCATTCGTACAAGTTATTGGTGGATAAAATCAACGAGCTGGAAAGACGTGGAACTGAAATGCAAGTTCAGTGGAATGTTGTAAGTCAGGTGCTTGATGTACTGAACGGTTTTGCTCTCGACAAACTCAGATCTAGTTTATCAAAAAATCCCGATTTGAAAAAAATATTTTGGATTGCACTGAACTAGAATTCAAGTAAAAATGAAACATGTCCCCTTAGTCTCGGTCGACGTAGAAAAATCTTTTTTCCTAAATAAAGACATTCTATCCTCCAAACGAGAAAACTCACTTTTAAGAACATTGAAATGGTTATTGTTGTAAATTACAATTCTTATCTTTATGTGTAAATTGTAATAAACAACTATGTACAGTGGTACCTCAGGATACGAAATTAATCCGTTCCGAAACTGAGATCGTATNAAAACCCGGAAAACTCCACGTGGCCAACCCGTCCGAGCGAGACGCGAAACCCACGACCGAACTCCCAGTGTTCAGGGTACGAAGACCGCTTGGCTGGTGGGCACAACCTAAAGCCTAAAGCATGTGACTTGTCCATGCCCTACACCGAGTATGTGAACGTATTCGTGTAGAATATAGAAGGCCAACAACTTTATTTCGAAAATGAAAATGGTTCTTCTCAAGTGCCCTAGTCGGGAGCGCTTGCACCAGGACGCAACTGGGCTGCCATTACTAGTGGTCACCCGTTGGGGGTCTTGGATAAACAGTGTGGTATTCTACTGCGAGAACTTCGAGAAAATTAATGCATTTATCAACGAACTTCCTCTTGGCGATTCTGTGGCCGTCTACAATGTCAAGAAACTGGTCGCTGATCCAGTAGTGACCACAGAGCTCTACCCCGTGCATTCGTACAAGTTATTGGTGGATAAAATCAACGAGCTGGAAAGACGTGGAACTGAAATGCAAGTTCAGTGGAATGTTGTAAGTCAGGCGCTTGATGTACTGAACGGTTTTGCTCTCAACAAACTCAGATCTAGTTTATCAAAAAATCCCGATTTGAAAAAAATATTTTGGACTGCACTGAACTAGAATTCAAGTAAAAATGAAACATGTCCTCTTAGTCTCGGTCGACGTAGAAAAATCTTTTTTCCTAAATAAAGATATTCTATCCTCTAAACGAGAAAACCTCACTTTTAAGAACATTGAAATGGTTATTGTTGTAAATTACAATTCTCATCTTTATGTGTAAATTGTAATAAACAACTATGTAGTTTGTAAATACTACATTGTAAATACTACATGTACTTCTTGTTGGTTTTTGTCTAAATAATACAGCAATTAAAAGTACCCAAAACTTGGAAAAAAAGCACGCAAACGAGCACCCAATCCATTCTAAAATTGCTTCCAAAAATCTGGACATTAGTCATAACCTATTTCGTAGGGACGGCCGGATGGCCGAGCGGTTAAGTTAGCAGCCTATCGCTCTGAGGACCCGGGTTCGATCCGGACGAGTCAAAAAATCCCCAGGAATTTTTTGGGGAGTAGTCTGTCTGGATATGTCGGGCCCCGCCCTTCATCACCTGGCCTATCCCATAATGGGCTTGCTAAAAGAAGCCTTCTTAGTTCCCATAGAGCGCAAAGAGTTTAAAAAAACCATTTTGTAGGAGTGCAAGTTGGTGAGGCACAATTCTGCAATACATAACTACATCTTAATGTCTTGGATTTCTGTTTACGGTCATTTGCTTGCGGATGTCCAATAACTTTGCTGCATATAGACACATCTTCGTTGCCAGCTTCCATTTAGTTTGTTGGTGTTCGTGACTTTATCGCGTAGTTATGTAGGTTTTATCATGCATGCAATAGCCAGGTTCTTCTCAAGCGAACAGCTCGACGTTCGACTCGCGACAATTGCAATCGAGATTGTGGGTAAGCCAAGATTAAAGTGAGTCGTGTATTGTATGCGAATGCAATATAAACTGTTTTTCTTTCTATAAAAAATATGATTATCGATATTTTAAAATAACATTCTGTAAATTAATTCGAGTTTCGATCTTAATTNGAAAAATGCGAACTAATGTAACGTCGTATGGTGAGTTTTTGTTCGTATCGTGGAGCAAAAATATGTTCGAATTTCATGTCGTATCCTGAAAATTTCGTATGCTGGGGCGTTCGTAACCTGAGGTACCACTGTAGTTTGTAAATGTAATACTGTACTTCTTGTTGGTTTTTGTCTAAATAATACAGCAATTAAAAGTACCCAAAACTGGGGAAAAAAGCACGCAAATGAGCACCCAATCCATTCTAAAAATGCTTCCAAAAATCTGGACATTAGTCATAACCTATTTCGTAGGGACGGCCGGATGGCCGAGCGGTCAAATTGGCAGCCTATCGCTCTGAGGACCCGGGTTCGATCCGGACGAGTCAAAAAATCCCCAGGAATTTTTTGGGGAGTAGTCTGTCCGGATATGTCGGGCCCCGCCCCTCATCACCTGGCCTATCCCATAATGGGCTTGCCAAAAGAAGCCTTCTTAGTTCCCATAGAGCGAAAAGAGTTTTAAAAAACCATTTTGTAGGAGTGCAAGTTGGTGAGGCGCAATACATAGCAACATCTTAATGTCGGATTTCTGTTTACGGTCATTTGATTGCGGATGTTTAATAACTTTGCTGCATATAGGCACATCTTCGTTGCCAGCTTCCATTTAGTTTGTTGGTGTTCGTGACTTTATCGTGTAGTTATGTGGGTTTTATCATGCATGCAATAGCCAGGTTCTTCTCAAGCGAGCAGCTCGACGTTCGACTCGCGACAATTGCAATCGAGATTGTGGATAAGTCAAGATTAAAGTGAGTCGTGGATTGTATGCGAATGCAGTATAAACTGTTTTTCTTTCTATAAAAAATATGATTATCGATATTTTAAAATAACATTCTGTAAATGAATTCGAGTTTCGATCTTAATTTTCTTCTGACGCGATATTATCATAATTATCTTTGGCTAAATAATGTACTTTATTTCTTATGATAATTCGAGAGGCGATGAGATTCAATTATGATGATTAAAATTTTTTCATACTTAGGAAAAGGTATATAAAGGAAAATTATATTTACTAAACGTCACAATAAATCGTCGACCATGACAGATTTGATTTCTTCTATTTGTTGGTTCCTAGTAAAAAATTAATTAAAAAAAAAAGAAAACGAAAACGAGATCTGATATGAAGTAAATTGCTATTAACAAGAATAACTAATTTTATTTGAAATTATTTTCGAAATCTTCTCAAAGTTTTGCACACTACTTACATATATTGGATCATTTTAAATATTCAGAATACCCAGTAGTCGTCCATAAATTATGTAATGCTATTTTTATACTTTTCAACTACTATCCCACCTCCATAACGGTCCGTAACTCTGTCGCACTATAAAATACAGACAATTAACGCATTATTTAACGCATATCCTAAATCGAACCCCTTAAAAAATTGTAGGTCTACCAAGGAATAATACACTGCACATGATACCGAACGTTTCATTATTTTATTAATTAGGCCTACATGTATAACATCCTAAAAGTAGTGACATAAACAGTACAATTAGCTACGCAACACTTCGGAAGCAAAAATTAATTATACATTACTATATCCTACGGTTAAGACACTAACAGTACGTAACACTTTTATAAACACCTCACCCTCTTGTAGCCTAAGCTTCGTAACCATTATCGCCATACGTAGCGATTACCTATCTATGTATGCGTTACATAATTTATCGACAGTTGCTAGTAACAATAATAAATACGTTTAGTGACGTATAAAAACTTTGCCACTCAATGAAATAATTTTGCAAAATTCACCCAGATGATAATTTTCACATTAAAGGATTGAAGACATTTGACGTTTATCTTTATTCCTATTTTTAAAAACTATTTTATTTTTAAATCCGATATATATTTTTTCACGTTTTAAGAGAATTTTTAAAAAATTTTGGCGACCAAGTAGCACAGAAAAGTCAGGTCCTCATGGAATGTATTCCAGAATATGAAAGTGAAAGTTGGCTGTTTTGATAGATTGTGTTTAATCTCTTAATAAAAATAATTGTTTAAAATGTTTATCGCCCATTAGTGGCCGAGTGGATTAAACCATTGAACACTGGTCGTGGGTTTGTGCCCGAACAACGGTTCGTCCACGTGGAGTTTTCAGGGTTTTCTTCACGTATCTAACGCCTAAATAGAGTCCAGTTTCCAGTAAAAAGTCCTAACCTCCTTGATAGATCGTCCACATGTTGCGTTGCCTTATCCTACCAATCCTTTATGCTTACCTCAATGAAAATTTTTCGTAAGTTTAAATTAATTAAAGCCAAATTCAAGAATCTTAGTGTTCAAATTGGAACTCAGACATACATTCCATTCGTTTTAATTTCCAGCTCGCCGCTCTTTGGGCACTAACAGGACCTTTAATTTTAATTATATCCAGAGTCTGTGAGTTCGGCCATACTTGTAATAAGCGCTATCGTGTTACGAAGGACGGAAACCGACATATCCAGGGCAGATCGCTCCTGAAAGTTTTCCGAGATTTCTTACATGAGCTCGAACCCGATTTCCAGAGCAACAGGCTGACGCCTTTATTGACTCGGCCATCCAGTCGTTTCCCTAGAAATTGATAGTACATCATAGGTCTATACACGATTTTTACGTAACTTTCATGTAAAGGTGAACATCTGTGATTTTTTTTAGTCTTTTTTATAATTCATGTCCTTTGATAATAAAGGGAATAATTTTCAAAATACAGAATTGTATTTGAAAAATAATAGTAGGCCTAGTTTTAGATTATGCATTAGAGTACTGTATACATAAATGTTGGTGTTTTTCATTTAGTATCTAAAAATATTTTTTGTAATTTCTTCTTGTAGACAATCATATTAAAGTTTTTTTTTTATTTAACTAAAAAATATTTATATTTCTAATTTAAAAGAAAACCAAATTTATATAAAATTATAAAACTGCGAAGATGAAAATTTTACACATTTTACTTAAATCAAAAATTCTTCTTAATGACTGATGAATATGAATAGATTTTTCGTGTCAATTCAACCATTTACACGAGTCTCTAAACAAACATTCCGATTAATTTCTATCGCGTTTTAAGAGTGAACGTGTTTCTATTGTTTAACACTAACAGTTATTTTCGCATCTTCTTTACAGGGGATTCGAATAATTATTTCTCCTTTTTTAGAATAACCATAAGAAATATTTGGAATATTTTGTTTCTTTTCACTCGGCCGTATTTCACACGAATATAATTCCTTTCGTTTCCTGAATAAACGATGAAAATGAATAAAAATTCCCATAGAAATGCTATAGATGTAACATACAATTTTGCAGATGTTATCCACTATTTCATCTATAATTTTCCAAATGCAATGACATATACATTTTAAAGTATTTATGAAGGAATGCTCCAAATATTGGACAAAGTCCAACAGTTTTCTAAGAAAAGATACACATTTATATTTCTCGTTTACTATTTTTGAATGTTGCTTTTCTTTAAAGAAACCGAATCCCATAGGAAGAATTTCTTTTTGTTCTGAATAAATTTGTTTTTTTAGTAATAGGTATAAAGTTTTTCAAAATAATTATTGATAAATGCGATTGCTTACCCCATGTTTGGTCTTTTTCTCTGATGTTCACAGTTGTTAATAGAAATATGAAGATTAGTGTTTGTAATTTTGAAAATAACATGAATAACAAATTATATTTTTACTGCAACGTTGTAAAGCAGTTCGTACTGTTTTCACTGAAAGTATTGTTTACATTGTTTTATTTCATAACAAATAAATGATTCTCTATTATAATTGTTTATTTTAGAATATTGTACAATGTGCAAAATTATGCAATTTTATAGATATATTACTTTACCTATTGTTTAATCATTTTTCTTAATTATTTATTTAGTAAATAACTGTTGCAGTAAATTAATTTGACTACAGTAGGTTTTATCTCATATAGCAGGGATGGCCAACACGTAGACCGCGGTCGACCGGTTTTGAAAGTAGCCCGCGAAGCTAAAGTTGAACAATTTGCTTTCACTTAAATTAATGTTTAAAAATCTTAATTCGATAATTTATTCTTACAATAATAGACTGTCTGTGCAACGTACCCATACTGTTTGTATTTATCCCTATGAACAATGCAAATGAATGTTAACGCATGCGCATATAAAAATCCTAAAATTGTTTGCCCGTATTCATAGTCGCCCACAGACTATATTTTACCAAAAAAGTAGCCCCTAAGGGATAAAAGTTTGACCACACCTGTCATATAGATTACTTAGATGTAAGTATTTGTTGTTACTAGGTATTTTCTAAGAAAAAGAAACAGCTCCGCGGCGTATTTTTCAGTTTTGGCATGACAAAAACATGAATGTGATGATATGCTTTTAACGTTCTTTCTAAAGCAATTTAAAACCCGCAGATACGTAGAGAAGTGCATGTCCATAGTCATAACGACAAAAACGTCAAAAAATGTTTGAAACAGCCATATATGCAATCTGCAGCCTACCGACTCCAGCGACCGGTTAAAACTCGCACATGTGCAACCACAAGACACGCGTGCAAGTTTTCAAATATTAATTTCGTCACATCGTTCATGTTAAATGCCCGAAGTAAACATCAAAATAAAAAGTTGTCGTAGAGATCAACGTAAATTAACAGCAATTATAAACTCGATTGAGATGTTGCGCTGCGCACGATGAGGTTACAACTGGCAACCCGCCAATAGTGTTACATGGAGAAATCTGACACGAAATATCTCAGCCCATAGATTGAATTTCAAAATTCTGGCTTTGTCACAACATTGGCCTTGCTTAGTTGTATATATTTGCAAAAAATAATGTTTAATAGTCGTGCAGTTGCTTTGAACTTCGATCACAGACAAAATACTTTGTAACTTATGAAGAGCTCCGCTCAATTAATCTGTAAAATGTTTAATTAACGTGATTTTAGATACCCGTAATATATTAGAATTTTAAATTAATTATAAGATATCGATTTAATACATAAAAAATATAAATTCGACTTTTAACAAAGCTAAAAACTTTGTACTTGTCCTTCTTTTCGCCGTTCTCACCATCAGCAATACTTTAAAAAACGTTCACAAAAAATCACAGAGGCGACCTTCCTTTTGAGGCTACTACCTCTGTAACAATATGTAAAATCACGTAAAGCGTCCTCTGGTGATCTTGCCATATTCACAATAATACATTTTAAGTAAAAATAATAAAATCCATGGCCGGCGTTATTTACATTTAATACATAAAAAATATAAATTCGACTTTTAACAAAGCTAAAAACTTTGTACTTGTCCTTCTTTTCGCCGTTCTCACCATCAGCAATACTTTAAAAAACGTTCACAAAAAATCACATAGGCGACCTTCCTTTTGAGGCTACTACCTCTGTAACAATATGTAAAATCACGTAAAGCGTCCTCTGGTGATCTTGCCATATTCACAATAATACATTTTAAGTAAAAATAATAAAATCCATGGCCGGCGTTATTTACATTTAATACATAAAAAATATAAATTCGACTTTTAACAAAGCTAAAAACTTTGTACTTGTCCTTCTTTTCGCCGTTCTCACCATCAGCAATACTTTAAAAAACGTTCACAAAAAATCACATAGGCGACCTTCCTTTTGAGGCTACTACCTCTGTAACAATATGTAAAATCACGTAAAGCGTCCTCTGGTGATCTTGCCATATTCACAATAATACATTTTAAGTAAAAATAATAAAATCCATGGCCGGCGTTATTTA